ATATAAGTATTTTAGTCTTCATAACTATATGCTTTCTTCTTTATTTATATAAAGAAGAAAACATATAATCACAAAGACAAAAATACTTATATCTCGCGACCTACTGGGCCTTACTTAAGCATTGAAAAGAGGTTTATTTAGTAAGGAAAAAATTTTTTCTTTGGAAAACTTTTAATTCTAAAGGCAATAATATCTGATGCATCAAGAAAGTAACTTTTGTATAATAGCGAACAGATGGAAAATGCAAAGTTACTTTTTTGATATTTTAAGATTTAAGATTTAATGCATCAAGAAAGTAACTTTGTATCACTATGCATAGAAATTAAAGGTCTGTCACTTCGTTTCAGATAATAAAATAAGTTTTTTATGAAAATCTTTGTTCTAATTAACTATTGTAACTTCTGAAAACTCGAGTTATATATCATACTTATTAATCACAGTGTTATATACTAAACAAATATCATAAGTTTATACAATGACTGTAAATCATACTATTTGACTTGAACTTTTGAGCTATATTATTTTTCCACCATTACTCTTAAAATTAGCTTTATGAAATTGATTATAAAGAATCTTTGGCTAACTTTAATGATATATTATAAAAAATATCTCTACGTGATGATTGTGAAGATCATTTATATTTGTTACATGATAGTTACTTTTTTTATTATTAAATTTGAATGTAAAGATTATATTATAATCAACTCTACTAAGTGATTTTTTAGGATATAGTTAAATAAGTTTCACAAAACAATAGTTATATAACAACAAGTATATTGTATGCTTTTAATCTAGCTTAGAAAATATGAAGGCATGGTTTAATAAAATTTAAAGTACTAACAAAAAAATAGATCACAAAAAATTTTAGTGGGCAAATTTGTCCACATTACGGTTTAAGAAATACAGTATAATTTTACAAGCCTGTATGTGTTATAGCAGTACTGTTAAATTATAATTTTCTTTTTCAAAATTTGTATTTTTTTTTTTATTTTTTTTTTATTTTTTTTTAATTATTTTTATAAAATCCTTTTTATAAAATTTCTTCTTTTGGTCTCATGCTTTTTTGAAAAAAAAGAAAAAATTAGAAAGGAAAAAGAATCCTAATATGGTATACAATAACTTGTTAGTAATTTTGGGAACAACCTCTGTCATTGCAAAATTCAAGTCAATTTTGAATTCTAGGAGAGACTAACAGTTGTTATAGCAGGTCATTTTAGGCATTTAGCTTGGAGAGTCTTTATTAGAATAAAGCAATATACTATATTGATGTAATACTTTTGTAGAAATATCACAAAGTAGTTTAAAAAATAAATAAAGACCTCTGTTGTTGCAAAATTTGAATTAGTTTTGAATCCTGAAAGAGACTAATAGTTGTTATAGCAGGTTATTTTGGGCATTTAGCTTGGAGAGTCTTTATTAGAATAAAGCAATACACTATATTGATGTAATACTTTTGTAGAAATATCTCATAGTAGTTCAAACAATAAATAAAGGCAGGATCGCTTAAAAAAAAAAAAAAAGTAAGTCCAATTCATTATTAATAATAATAAAAAATACTAGCAAAATCGTCAAAGTTAAAAAAAAAATTAAAATTATTTTTTTAAAAATAAAGCTAAGTTGTAGTAAATATAAATTGATTTAGTTATAATAGTGGCTTTCTTTTTTAAATATTTTTTTAAAGTTTGTATAGTCTTTAAAAACTTCCGAGTATTAACGTTATATAATAGAATTTGTAAAATTTCTTCCCACGTGCTCACTGCGCATCAGCCAATCAACATACGAGGGACAAAAAGCATATAGTAAGTACGTACATCTTCGCGTTAACACAGACGAGATAAAAAAAAAATGTCTATATATCCTTTATACAAGGAGATTTTTCCGTCAACAAGCGTTGAAGAAGTTGTTTGTGCCAATTTTACTTCGTCTAAGGATATTAATATTATAGTTGCACGTTCATCTATATTACAAATTTACAAATTTGTTGAGAGAATTGAGATTTCATTAGAAGACGAAGATAATGATTTGGGTCAAGAAATAGAAAAGGAGAAGGATGAGGTGAGCACGCGTTGTTTGAGCTTCTTTATTTTGATTGATAGTCAAGCGGAAGGTAGTTAGCACTGGACCGAGTAAAGTTGGCAGGATTAGCATAAATTGTTAGGAGACAGATAATTTCGTATTATCAAAATCCAATTATATAAATATTCTGTTTAGACGCAGATCTGAGCAAATTCATTTAAAAATATATTCGTGGTTTTTTTTTGCTATGAAGCTCTTTTAAAGATTTAACTAAGTAGCTTAAATAGAATTTAAAAGATTAGAAACTCATTAATATGGATATAGAGAGTGATGATGTTTCAGCTAAGTTAGATAAATAAGTGTTGCATTAAAGAAAATACACATAGAATCAATAAAATTTTTTTCTACTTCCGAATTGTGTATCTTTGGTGTTTTTATTCTTATACAATTTTTACTTTTTTCACCATATCATATGGTGGCAAAAAATATTTCAAATGATTTCATGCAGACGTTTCTATTAACACTCAAACCGGCTACAAATCCGTCATTCAAGACTGGTCATCTTGAACTTATCTCACAGTACAAGCTTCATGGTAATATAACATCTATGGGAGTTGTGCGAACGATTTCTTCGGGGGGCAAACGGTATGGATAGTCTGTTATTAAGCTTTAAGGACGCAAAGGTTCGTTATTTGAGATATTAGGCATGGTAGCGAGTCATCAAAATTTTGTAGCATATTAATATGAATCTTTATTATTCTAGTTGTCGCTTTTGGAGTTTTCGCTGGCAACTAACAACATCGTCACGGTATCTATCCACTATTACGAACGAGAGGAATATAAGGTAATCGTTAAATAAGAGTTGATGTCGAATCAATTATTGATAGACCATTAGACTGATAATTGTTTTTTATCATCACAGCTAGAATTTCTAGCAAATACGCGTCCGACCGAATTGAGGGTGGATCCATCCAATAGATGTGCTGTATTGAATTTTTTTGGTGATAAACTGGCGATTCTTCCTTTTCGTCAAGAAGAAGCCTTAAATTTAGATGAAGAAGAGGTTGCAAGGTATGTAATACCATTTGGTATTTACTGTTTATTTGAACAGTAATATTCTTATTCTTACGTTTCAATTTTGGGTAGCAAGTGGCCTTATTTACCAAGCTTTGTCGTCGAGCTGCCTTCCATTCAATCACGAATTAAAAATGTCATAGATATGAAATTCTTGTATGATTATTACGAGCCGACTTTAGCCATACTTTTTGAATCATGTCAAACCTGGCCAGGGTAAAGATGATATACTATTATATTTATAGAGACGCAGAAAATTTACTAAACTTCACAACATAAACATTGTAGTAAAATGAACACAAATAAGGACACTTGTTCTCTCGTCGTTGTGTCACTAGATATTTCACAAAAAGTATATCCAGTCATATATTCTATGGATAAGTTACCACATTCCAGTGTGAAATTAATTCCAATTCAAAAACCCGTTGGTGGTATCCTCGTTATAACAGCAAACGCGATAATTCATGTGGATCAAAGCTCTCCAGGAATTGGTATTGCGGTTAACGGATATGCAACGTCCACAACAGATTTTCCACTTGACCATTCATTCGAGCATTTAGGTCTTGCTCTAGAAGGAAGTCATTATGTTTTCTTAGATAAAGATGAGATTTTACTTTTTTTGCGTAATGGCGACATGTACTTAGTAAAACTGATAAAGGATGGACGATCAATATCTAGGATTACAATAGAGAAAGTTGGTACTAATACGTTGCCATCATGTGCTTGCGACGTAGCTCCGGGATATTTCTTTTTAGGATCACGACTGGGCGATTCACATTTGGTTCAATATAAAGCTGCTAGGTCCAATTATAAGACGGATGGTGCGGTGAATGGTTTTAGTAATATGGTAATTCTGGATTATTTAATATTAAAATATTTCTGATTTTAGCCTTCTCTAATTTTTTTTTTATTTAGTCGCGAAGAAATACCTTCGATTTTGATGCAGGTAATAAAAATTTTAGAATCGGATAAAATCCAAGTTGTTAGCTAGTAAAATTTATGTAAATTACGTTAGGGCGAAATCTGCGTTTAATTAGGTTATTTAGCCCTCAAGTGATCTACGTATTAGGTTTTACTAACCGGCAACTCAGGTTTCACCCTATCATAATATTTTTAATTTTTCGTGTATACATACTGTGCCTTTTCTAATATTTAATATTTTAAATGTGTCTTAGAACTATATGAAACTGATACAACCAGTAGTATAAATCTTGCAAGCATAAGCAGCAAAACAAATACTAAATTTCCAACAACCTCCGAATACAACTTCACTATATGCGACACGCTTATTAACGTTGGACCAATAGTGGATTTGGCTTATGGCGAATTAGCATTCACCGAGGTTAAAATATTTGTTATAATCCATTCCCATATAAGTTAAAATGCTAAAGTTTTGATTTCCTTTTAGGAAGAGTCTCATTTACATACTGTGCATAAAGAATTAGAGTTGGTCTCTTGCTCTGGTTCTGGCACGGCTTCCTCGCTTTGTATATTTCACGTAAGGTGCTTTTTTTTTTGCGCTAGTGACTATTTTGAGATTAAATCTAATTCCAATCGTAGTTAAGTGTGACTCTTTATTTATAGCGTAATATAAATCCAATAGTATCGAGCTCTTTCGCAATGACTGATTGTTTAAATATGTGGACAGTATCATGCAGAGATGTCATATTTCAAAATATGAACATCGATAATGTAGACACAGATTCTTTTCATAAATTCCTATTTATTTCAAAAAAACATAGGACAATGGTACATTTATTATTTATTTGTCAAATTGTTGTAGGCTCATATTATTTTATATTCATATTATATATATTGCTGCGTTTAGGTTCTTGCTTGTGGCGAAGAATTACAGGAACTTGAGCATTCTGACTTTTATACGGAAGGTCCGACAGTGGCCGTTGGATCAGTGTTGAATGGATCACGTATATTACAAATTTGTGGTCATGGACTCCGGCTTCTTGATCAAGGTTTCTTTTATTCGATATATTATATTTATAAGATAGTGTAAATCGACGGTTCTTATTTTATTTTTGTACGCATATAGATGGAAAGCTTGTGCATATAATACCGACTCAGGATGATCCTGAAAAGAGCTTAATTGTATTTGCGAGCATTGTTGACCCATATGTGTTGCTATTATTTGACACTGGTGACATTAAGTTACTAAAGGCTGATGATAAGTTAAAGAGCATTGAGCTTTATTCACAGTCTCCGAGTATTAACGTAAGAACCAATTATACATAGGCTACGAATATCTTGCGTCCAATTTAAACCTTTTCCCTTATATTAGGATATTCCTACTGCGTCGTGTTATATATATCGAGATGATACCGGTCTTTTTACTCTTGTCAAAGATGATGTCGTGGGTGCAATAAACGAAACAAATATAAGCGGTTTTGGTGAGAACGTCAAATCCGAAAGCTTTTGGTGCGTACTGTATCAGCAAGATGGCACCTTGGAGGTCAGTGATTTATATTTTATATTATCACATCAAAGATTCTAATATTTATAACTTATTTTATATAATAGATTCATAAACTCCCTGAATTTAAGGAAGTGTTCCATTTTCCACATTTTGATTTATCACCAGCTGTTCTCACCGATGTTATAACGCGACAAAATGTAAAAGCTTCTGGACAGACTGTGGAAATTCAGGAGATTTTATTAATAAACATTGGTCGACAAGCAAAGGATCCATATCTAATTGTAATTGATTATTGCAATTATTCTTTTTATTTGATTCATACATCTCAATGTTTAAAAATGTTAATAAACTTACTCGACAATATATTTAATGTTTTAGGCACGTTCTAGTGTTGGTGACATTATGATTTATAAGGCCTTCCGATATATGCCTGGCACCGACATATCAGATCCTTTCTTAAAGTCACAATCTCAAAGCGAGTTGACCGATCGCCTAGCTATACGATTTTCGCGTATCCCCCAGGAATATATATCACGCGAAACGATGTATAGTGATATCCATGATAAACCTGTAACTAGAAGGTCAACTCTTCAAGAATTGAATATTGACGAAATTGATCAAACGAACCATGATGTAGAAAAGCGAAGAACTATTCTTAGACAGATAAATCGACAACTGATACCCTTCACTAATATAGCGGGTTACTCCGGTGTTTTTGTAACAGGTGCGAAGCCTCTTTGGTTGATTTGTGCGCGCAATAATTATCTGAGGGTCCATCCGATGAATGCGGACGGTGAAATACGAAGTTTTACACCATTTCATAATGTACATTGTAAACATGGCTTTTTGTACACTAATACTCAGGTAATTATTATAAAATATTTAATTCCTATTTATTCAATCAATGCAATATTATTAATCTTCGCTTAGGACGTTTGTCGATTGTCAGAGTTACCGACTGATTTTCAATATGATATGGAATGGACTGTGAAAAAAGTTCAATTAAATCGTTCTGTTTACGGAATCGAATATCATCCAGAAATGCAGGTCTATGCATTGTTAACATCATTACCCGTTGAATTTCTATTGAGGGATGAAAATGGTGAACCTATAGAATTTGAACGAGGTAACTTATCTATACATATCGATAATGCATATGTATCTTCTAATAATCAACTTTATACTATATATAGATAGTTCACAATTTTTACCTGAAACCCAAAAATTTACTCTTGAGTTGATATCTCCGGTCACTTGGGAAACTGTAGACAGGTTCGATTAACATTTAGAACATTACTATTTAGATGATTAATTTGCTTAATAAAATTGAACTCGTCGTGTAGGCACGATTTCCATGATGATGAACAAGGTTTATGTATAAAATGTGTAAGTCTCCAAACAAAATCCACTACTAGTGGTCGAAAATCATTTATTGCCATTGGTACTGGAATCTTCCGTGGCGAAGATGTTGGTATGCGAGGAAATGTAAGTCGTTGTTCTTTGGTTAAATCAAATCACTCTCAATATTCTTAATCCATCATTAATTTTTAAAGGTTTATGTATTTGAAATAATTGAAGTCGTGCCGGAGCCTGATAATCCGCAAACAAATCACAAATTTAAATTGCTATGCCATGAAGAAGTAAAAGGTTCAGTAACTGCAATTTGTGATGTCAACGGATACTTATTAACGTGTGTCGGACCAAAGGTAAAAAAAAAAATATATGCGTTTTGTAAGTCGTGCATAAATAATAATTTTTTTTTTAATTTTAGATTTTTATTCGTGCGTTTGAAGACAATGATCGTCTCATTAGCGTTGCGTTCATTGACATCCAAATTTATGCTAGTAGTGTAGTGTCGATTAAAGATTATATACTCTTGGGAGATGTCTACAAAGGTGTCTGGTTCCTTGGATTTCAGGCAAGGCTTTACTGGACTATAACTCTTGGAGTCATTCTCAATATACTTTACATATTTTGACATATAATTGCACTCAAAGGAGGAACCAGCGAAACTAGTGTTAGTTGGTAAAGATTATCATTCTATGGAAGTCGGGTGCACTAATTTTATAATCGATGAGCCTGTATTATATTTTGCAGTGGCAGATATGGATAAAAATATACATTTATTTCAATATGCACCTTATAGTAGGTTTATTTTATTTAAATAATGGTTTGTTATTACATACATTTCTAATATTCAATTTACTTTTTAAGATGTACAATCATTTGCTGGTCAGAAACTTATTCGCAGAGGCGATTTTCATGTTGGTGCGCAAGTAAAAACAATGTTATCATTGCCAAAAAAAGAGTTAGTAAGAAGAGAACATTCTATTGACCAGGGTATACCTGTGATGGAAGAAGAAACCAGTGGGCATAAACAGCTTTGCTTATGCGGTACACATTTACTTAATATTATATTGCATTTCATAAATAATAAATAATAACTATAAAGTGTATATTACTACTAACTAAAATACTTAGGAACTCTTGACGGAAGTATTGGTATGATAACCCCAATACCCGAAAAGATGTATAAACGAATGCAATTGTTGCACTCGCAAATGGTGAATGGAATACAACATCCAGCGGGTCTCAATCCTAAATCATTTAGGTATATATATTCAATACTTCGAATTGATCATAATATGGAGAAAACTAATTTTCTATTTCACTTATGGAGGCTTATGCAATCAAAGCAACGACTAGCCATTAATCCAGCTAAAGGGATTTTAGATGGTGATCTTTTAATCCAATTTCCAAATTTAGCATTACATCGACAACGAGAAATGACTAAGCAAATTGGAACTACAGTAGAAAGGATTTTAGACGACTTGTTGGTGTTGCAAGAATCATGTGACTATTTCTAATAATTTTAAGGGTTGTCATGTGTTATGACAAACATGCGTTATCATCTATATAAATTTCAATATTTTAACCTTGCTTATTTTGATTGGAATAAAAAAGTATGTTGAGTTTTTATGAAATAAAATGGATTGTCTATAAAGCGACTCTAAAAGAGCGTAATTTTTAAACAAGTCGTTGTTGCAAATATATTAATGCTTCTAAAATATTTGAACGATCAAATATGATGTCAACAGCTTTTACAAAGAATGCTACTACGCAAAAATGAACCTCAAGATTTATTACCTTAACTACACTTTACAACTTACGTATTCTGATGCAAACTTTATATATCGATCCTTATAGGTTCGAGTATGTGAGTAGTCATCTTAAGATTTTCAAATTGCACGGGATTTTTGATCGGTTTATTGCATAATGCAGAAATGATAACGATAATCGAAGCCTAAAATAGAACAGTCGTTATTATTATAACTAAATTGAGCTTTTGGAAATTCTGAATTCTGAACAGGATCGTCATTATTATCGATATTAACAAGCTCGGATCGGATGCGTATGCACGTATGTACGTAAGCATATCAGATATTCTATATACCTACCTATTAATCTCATATGATAAAAAAGATCGGGTCTCCTGAAAGTATTGTCATGTGCAATCATTAGTGAATTTAAGCAGTGTAAATACATAAAATCCCTTGATCTCCTGGAATTATATCATGGCTGATATAAAGAAAAGACTTGTATTCTCTATTTTGCAGTTTTTACAACAGTCCATTAAGGATGGAACGATTAAGGGAGAAGATACTGAAAGTGTCGACGTAGCAGGTTCGAAATCATTATAAAACTGCGCGTCAATATCGTTATACCTCGACCTCTAACAAGAATCGTGTATGTTTGCTAAGTGCAATGTATCGGTGAAGCTTTCGGTGTGAACACCGAAGATCCTGATCAAAAAACTCTTTATGCCACAAAAGCCCCCTTGTTATCAATTTTTGAAGTAGCTGTGAAAGCTCAAGAACGGATAACTAAGGCGGTGAGCAATTCTCGCTTTAATTATACATATCTTTATTCAATAAAATTGATTTTTTTTTTTTTCCTCTTATTAGCCAACCCCTAAAACTAGTATGTATAATTTTTGCTATCGATTTTTCACAATTATGTCATCATTATTTATGCATATACATACATATATTTCCTTTTACTAAGCTTCAGCTACTGCAACCAAGGTGAGTAGTCGTGCAAATTATTATTTCATTATAATACTCGTATACTCATTGAACTCTTCATATATTGTATAAATCAGACGGAGCTCAGTGAGGAACAAAAAAAAAAGGCCGAAGAGTTGAAAGCAGCTGGTACTTCAATTCATTTCAATTTATATTCGTTGCCACCAATTCATGAACTAAAATATTATATACCAACTTAAAATCAGGTAATGCCAAAGTGTCTGAAAAAGACTATAAGACAGCAGTGAAATTATATAGTGAGGCTATTGCAATCAACGAAAATAGCGCTATTTATTATGCAAATAGGTATAGTATATTCTTTAAATTCTAAGTAAATTCGAGATTGTCAATGATAATATTTTAATTCATTCTTTATGCAAATTACAGGGCCGCCGCATACAGTCAATTAGGTGAACATGACAAGGCCATAGAAGATGCTATTAAATCTTCTCAAATAGATCCTTCTTACAGCAAAGCATATAGTAGACTTGGGTATAATAATTTTCATGTTTTAGTGTTTACTAAAGAGTCTAAATTATACTTTAACAATTATATATTTTTCAATAAAAAGTCATGCTTGTTTCTCTGTCGGAAAATATCGAGAAGCGGTTGAAGCATATGAGAAAGGCCTTTCACTTGACCCAAATAATCCTTCTATGAAAACGTCTCTTGCTACCGCTGAACAAAAAGCCAGTGAGCTAACCGACAAAGGATCATCACGAAGTACGCCCACGTCAGGTGGTGGTGCTGGACTTGGTGGTATCCCTGGCTTAGCAGGACTTGGTGGTGCTGGTGGTGGTGGTCTCGATTTTGCTTCAATAATGAATAATCCTGCTTTAATGGACATGGCACGTCAAATGATGCAGTCAGGAGCATTCAATAACATTATGAATAATCCTAATATTGCTGAAATGTACTAAGCAAATTTATAATTTTTTATTAGCATCGCTATTAATTATTATGGCGGCAGAAGCTGAAATTAGCTTAAGTTGAAATTGGAATCACTATTTGAATATATACGAAACCACGTTCAAAATTTTGCTTCGGCCAATTTAGCTTCAACTGCCACAATTATCTATTTGGGTTGTTACTTCACTAACAAGGTTATCGATTAATATAGGGCACAAAGCATGATGAGAGAGGGTCAGCCACCAAATATTAATGAACTAATGAATAATCCTGATATAATGAATATGTATGCCATCTAATTAAACTATATCGGTTGTTAGTTAATACTTACTCACCTATGTTATATTTTAAGGGCTCGTCAATTCGCCAACAATCAGAGTGGAGATGGAGATAATACCGAAGCTTCCAGTGACAATGCACAATAAAATTAATATATTTAGTAAATTTAGTTAAATACCACATACCCAAAAAAGATATAGGTATATTTACATAATAATTCCATAATTATATTGACTTGTACCTTTTGAACTATTATTCATGATCAAACTCATATCATGTCAATTATACGCAATACATTTTTTTATTTCGCTTTCAATTTTGTTGTAATAAAAATAATGTGTTACAATAATTTTAGATAGATTATCTCAAATGATATTATATCTCTATCTAATAACCTGATTGTCTAGTTTTGATATGCATTAATTTGCTGTTTAAATAGGTGAGGTGGTAGTTTTTGTAAATAGCAAAAAGATTTTTTAAATTAATATACTTGGATTTGTGGTGACATGGTGTATTGGTTAGTGCATAGAAGTGAATTGTCACCCCAGATAACAAGATTAAAGTTTAAAAATAAAATTTGAAATTTTTATTTGATGTTATAATTTAATTTTTTTTGTTTACACTAGTAAAAATTTAGAAATATTATACAGTATAAAACATGAAGAAATGCAAACTAGTTTTGAAGTTTGTGCAAATTCAAGTTTATTAAATAAAAATTTTTTTTTTTTTTTTTTTTTTAAATTGCTTATGCTGTAAATCTTTATACAATTAGATATTACAGTGAAGGAGTTGTGCTACACTAATTACTTAATGACACCTACCCTAGCAATTTAGTTGTACTTTTACTATTTTTTAGAATCTAACTAACAGCTATTACCCCATCAATTAACTTCTTAGTTAGCGTACAACCTACTTATTTCTATACAAGATCTTCTATATTGTTATTGGTATCTTTGTTCACCTATCTGCTTCCTGCAACAACTTTCTTTTTCTCCCAGTTTGGTTCATTCCGGCGGTTTTTCGCTCTTATTGCTCCCAAATTGGTTTACAATAAAAAAATTTAAAAAAACAAAGTTTATTTAAAATTTTTTACAATAAAAAAATTTAAAAAAACAAAGTTTATTTAAAATTTTTTACAAAAACATGTTGATTTTTTTTATTTTTATTTTGTTTAAAGTAAGATTTGGTTTTAATCTTTATTTTATTTGTTTTAGTATGCCTTCAAGGGCCTGCTATATTTACAATTTACTACAGTGCGGACAACCTAGTCCCAACCAATAAAAATTTTAGTGGCCAAATTTAGATTTTATTTTTTATATATATAAAGAGGCCAATTTGAAATTTTAGCTAATATTTATATATAAAGT